TGTATAGGAAAAATCTTTAAAAATCTTCTCAAGAACAGCCAAGTCATGATGAGTCATATTGATATGGAAGCATCCTCAGGTAGTGTAGATTCAAATTTGTTCAAATCATGACCCCCGGAGGTAGGGTGGGGACACAATGGAGGATCAAAGTATTATATAGAAATATTTAGGAAAAAGTTTAAAAATCTTCTCAGGAACAGCAAAGCCCTGATTGAACATATTTATGTGGAAGCATCCTCAGGTAGTGTAGATTGAAGTTCGTTCAAATGATGACCCCCGAGGGTAGGGTGGGGCCCAATGGGGGATCGGAAGTTTTACATAAGAACATGTAGAAAAATATTTCTTCTCAAGAACAGAAAAACTATGTTTAGTCATATTGATATGGAAGCATCCTCAGGTAGTGTAGATTCAAATTGTTCAAATGATGACCCCTGGGATAGGGAGGAGCCACAATAAGGGATCAAATTTTTACAAAGGAATATATGAGAAAATTTTTAAAAATATTTTCAAGTACAACAAAGCCATTTGTTATATTGACATGGAAGCATCATCAGGAAGTTTAAAATTCAACTAACCCCCCCCCCCCCCGGTAATCTTTTCAATACTGAACTGATTTGTGCTTTTGCCTAGCCAATGTGCTCAGGTGAGCGACGTGGCCCATGGGCCTCTTGTTGATTTATTTTACATTGTAGACTTCAATGCATTGTAACACAAGACTTCAACATTGATACAATAAAAGAGAATCATTAATTACAGTCCAAATAAAAAAATTACGAAAGGGAAAACCAAAAATAGATCTCAGCAACACAAAGCAAATTTTGAAGTCTGAATGGAACAACATTATTCTAAATAAAAAAATAATTAATCAATATTTAAGTCATGAAATATTTTTACCTACTGTCTTGTGTTCTCATGGACTGGCTTTGCATTCAGGTTTAAAAGAAGCCTAAGGGCCACAGCACTCACAAGGTATTTAGCAGCAGATGATTCCTTTGTAAAAATTACCGGTCACTGTAATCTAGTGGTAGTGCGCTTGCTTCGTGGTTGGGGGCCCCGGGTTCGATAATCATTCACTGCGCTGCGTCAAACCTAAGAAGTTTACATAGGTAGTGACTATTCCTTCGTCAAACGCCCAGCACTAGAAGTGAAAATCACCGGTCCTTCGGAGCAGACCTCAAATACCATGGTCCCGTGTCACGGTAGGTGTTGGCACGATAAAGAACCCTCAATGCTCAATAGGCTTGAGAGCCAAGTATAGGTCTAAATTTTAAGCCCTTCATTGACATACGGTGACGTCTCTATATGAGTGAAAAATTCTGGAATGGGACGTTAAACAACATACAATCAACCTATATAAAAATTGATCGCCTGTTGTGGTTCTACCCTATCCCCGGGGTGTCGATTTGGACAAATTTGAATCTACACTACCTGAGGGTGCTTTCATATCAATATGACTAAGCATGACTTTGATGATTCTTTAAAGGATCTTTCCTATATATTCTTGTGTAAAACTTAGATCACCCAGTATGGCTCCACATCTTTCCTGCGAGTCATGGTTTGAACAAATTTATATAAGCAAGTTGTAATGGAACTTTCACATACGTTTTATAATCTTCTGGCCAATTAGTTCTTGAAAGGAAACTTTTCAAAGATATTTTACTATATACTACTTTGTAAAAGTTTATTTGAATATTGTTGTCCCACACTGTCCCTTTGGACATGATTTTAGTCTTCAAAATGAAATGAGGCTTTCACGTAAATTTCATCAAGTGGTTCTTGAAAAGATTGTTTTAAAAATATTAAATTTTAACTAATTCTTAATTTATCCTTCCTTGAAAGAGGGCGTTACTCTTCATTTGAACAACCTTTAAGCAAAGAATGTTTGGCTCAAAATTAGTTGAAAATGGTATATCAGTTCTGAAAAAGTCGAAAATTTGAAAAGTTTACAAACGGACTGACAGAGAGACAGACGGATGCCCGGCAAATTATGATAAAAATGTTCAACATTTATGTATGGTCTTAGAAGATCAGATACATGTATTCCAACAAACTCATTTAATGTTGAAATTTCGATGGGCACTAATTGTGTTCCTTTATTAGCCGACCAGTTTATATTCCTATAAACAGATTTTATATAATTACCCAATAAATATTGATTGCATGTTATTTTACGTCCCGTTCGAGAATTTTTCACTCGTATAGAGACGTCACCATATACCGGTGAAGGGTTTCAAATTTAGAACTTTACTCGGTGTGAGGGTTCTTTATCGGGTTTGTTCCAACGCCTACCGTAGCACGGGGCCTCGGTTTAGAAGGTCTTATCCGAAGGACCCGTTACTTTCACTTCAAAGTACCGAGCGCTTGGCGAAGGAACAGTTGCTACTTATTTTTATTGACTTAGGTCAAGGTGGCCGTGATACGAACACACGACCTTCCGATCACGGATCGAGCGCTCTGCCGACTGAACTACCGTGACGGTCCCATAAATCTGTTTCATATTGGGATATTTTCTGACTATAGAAGATAAGGGCCAACTGATAACTAAATTGTATGACATTTGAGACGACTTCAGCTTTTTCACCGTCTACTTTTCTTATCTACATAGTAATATTCCGTTATCACCTGCATATGATGTTTACGTCTCCCAACTTATTCGATACTCAAGAGCATGCTCCATACCAAATTTTAAGCTTTTTATTTTTATACTACATATGACTATGGAATGTTTTGTCTTCTCGAACAATACTTATGACTGACGGTCAAGAGGAGATGCTCACTCCTCCTAGACACCTGATACATCTATAGTTTTATTTGTTTTTAAGATGATGATAATAAAAATAATAATACTGCTTTATTTAGAGAAGGTAACCGGATAAGTACAAAGTACTGTGCTTCCCTGGGGCCTTCTACTTTTAAAACTTGTCGCCCGCGTGGCGCCGTGGTTACAGCGTCTGAGTCGCGGAAGTGCTGGTACGAAAAAGATACCTCACTGCTCAATGGCCCTGAGTGCCGAGTATAGGTCAAAATTTATAGCCCTCCACCGGCAAGTGGTGGCCTCTCCATATGAGTGAAAAACTCTCGAGAGGGACGTTAAACAACAAACATTTCAAACATACATCAAATGGTATATTCAAAGATAAATATGTAGTGAATAATTAGATGTAATGTACAAATAAATGAAATATAGGAGAATATAAAAGTCAATTTACATAGTTCAGAAAATAATGTTATTATTGATAAAAATTACAGACGTTGGCCAATATTTTTTTCCACATTTCTTCTAAAACAGGTAAAGATTGTGATATTTTTTTGTAATGGTAGGTCATTCCATAAATGTACGCCTGAATATTGAGGAGAGTTTGTAAAAAGGATTGTTCGATCCTTTGGTAATCGTAGATTATAATTTAATTCTGAATGCAGTGAATAGGAATCATAGCTTTTAAAAACAAAAAGATCCTGGAGATGTTCAGGGCTCATACTATAATATGTTTTGCACAATAAAATCAATTTATGTAACGAAACTAATTCCAACACATTTAACCAACCTATTTTTTCAAACAAAGGTTTTGATAGTTCATTAGGTGCTGCATCAAGAATAATTCTAGCAGCTCGTTTCAGAAGTTTAAGGATTCTTTCAATGTTAGTTTTAGATGCATTATCCCATACCATAAGACAATAGTTTATTGAAGGCAAAATGTATGCATTATAGAAGAGTTTTCTGGTACTTAATGGAAGAAATTTCTTAATTTTACGGAGCGTAAATAACTTGAATGTTACGTTTTTACAAACTGAATCTACAAGAAAATTATATTGAGGAGTTTGATTCATTCGAAAACCTAAGAGTTTTTCAACTTCGTTTCCAGTTTTTCTCCAAAAATATAATTATGTATGAAGTACTGGATTATCTAACCTTGTCCTCTTTTGTTGTGTGCACATAAGCATGCACTTTGATTTGTCCGTGTTCATAATCATTTGGTCCTGTAAACACCAATATTCAATTTCAAATAAATCGAAATTTAAATATGTTTCTATATTATGCACATTGCTGTCAGGTAAATGCAGAGTTTCATCGTCAGCAAACATATCAATATTAGAATGATAAACACATAAAGGAGGGTCATTTATATACAATAAAATAGATGTGGACCTAACAGAGATCCTGCGGCAACCCTGCTGTGATAGGTAAAATATCGGGGGTCCTTTCGATTACATAAGACTGAAACCACGAGTGAATCAAAGTAAAAGTGTCTTAATTTCTCAATTAGGATATCATGGCAGACTTAATAAATTGCCTAACTGAAATCTAGAAATGCTATGCCTATGAAATTTCCTGGGTCCAGCGCTTGCGACCAGCTGTCAGTTAGTTTAGTTGTTGCCGTTTGGCAGGAATGGAATTCCCTAAAACCAGACTGTGAGCTCATAATGAGGTCAAAAGTTCTAATGAATTCACGTACCTGATGAGCAATGTGCTTTTCAAAAATTCTTGATAATTGGATAAGATAGATATTGGTCGGTAGTTACTTGGATCACTTTTACCGCCCATCTTATATATAGAGGTGGCTTTAACTTGTTTCAGCTGGGAAGGAAAGATACCATAAGTAATGTTAGTATTAATAAGATGAGTTATGGGCTAAGAAATCACATTTGCAGAAAGTTGAATAAAAGAGACGGGTGCCAATGAAGTCTATACCTGCTAAGTTATTAATGGCAAGTGTGCATAGCATTGATAAGACCTTGTCCTGTACGCAGTTTTACTAAAGGTCGTAAATTTTGTCGTAGACGTAGACGTAAACGTAGACTTTACGAATGAATTTACGTGTGCGTAGATAGCGTTTTACTAAAGGTCGTATCTACGCCCGTAAACGTAGCCTTGCATGTAAAGTTTCTCGTAACTTACGACAGGAACTCTTCGGAAGGAAGGCAAATAAACTATCCTAGTAACGAAAGCTGCGCATGCGTATTAGCTACTTTCGATTACATTGCGAGTCGTCTGCAAGATCATGGATAGAACGAAAGCGAGGAAGCCGAATTGGACGGACATCGAAATGGATGTACTAATGGAGGCATATTGTAACTCCATAAGGATTATTCGAGGTAAATTTTCTCCATCTATTACCTCTGATGCTAAGAAAAGAGCATGGGAAGAGATAACAGAGAGGTTAGTTTTTATTTTGATATTTATTTAGGCCCCATATTTATTTTTTGCATGTATCTGATTCTATTCTATACGTTAAATTTGCAACAATGCAAAAAAATAAATTTATAAACGGCATAAAGAAGATTCCTACTATACATGAATTCAATTGATTAATTATTCAAAAGACACTTCTGTGAGTGAAGACATGTCCATATTAATATATCACACTGTATGCATTAGGCCTAAATCTTTGAAATCGTGTAATGGAAACGTTCCATCAACTGACCAAGCCGTCATAAAATATCATTGAGATTTCACAGTTTTAATTTTTTTCTCAATAAGAGTTGATGTACATAATCCGTCACAATTAGATCCGCAGATTCATTTCAAATAGAAAGCGAAAGTAAACAGAAGGCGATAGTGAGCTGGTGAATCGAAGATGGAGAGAAACCCATATGTATGTTCTCTTATAAAAAATGTATCCATTTAGTATATTCTGATAATATGCCACCCCCTGTTTGTAATGCATGTATGGATTATTACAGGGCGTACTATTTGTCAGTCTGAATATGAATCCTTATCCATGTTTTATCACCATTTCAATTTTCATACAACAAAACAAATATCGTGGATTTCAAAATTATGACGCACTGTAATTAACAAATACGAATAGAAAAATAAACAGCAATACCATGATTCATGGTCACCATGAATACTGAAGACGTATACACTAGCTGGTATACTGTATACCGGTACTAAATACATGTACATATTATATGCCTGTATGCATCCTTGGCAGTGCAAAATTTTCCACTGTATTTACAATATATATATATATATATATCCATTTCAAATATAAAATTTTTATTTTTATCATTATTTCATTAGGTAATTAAAATATTATTAAAATAACTCTTAGCATTAAAATAAATGCAGAGTGAATGCTGTAGCAGTATCATGCAACAGAACATTGGATGAAACCAAAAAGAAAATACAGGATAGTCTGTCCAGTGTGAAAAAGAAGGAGGCTTTCCGAAAGAGAGAAGCATCAAGAACAGGTGGAGGACCCTGTTCAGAAGTGATTTTTAAGCCATGGGAGGTGACTGTGAGTATTTGGTAGTGGATAGAAAGCTTACTATAAAAGTTAAGTAAAAGTGAAATGAGTGAATAAAGTTTATACACAGGATCAAATGAAATGTTCAAAGAACCTGTCTTTAAAGTTTCGCATTTTTAAAAAATTACATCACAAAAGGAATATTTCTAGAAATGAATCACTAATTCATTAAATGGAAACAACATTCTATGTTTTTTATGGAAATAAATTTAAGCTTACATACTAATGTACTTTGATTTTTTTAGCTTCTTGGAACAATTCCACAAGAGATTATACATGGCTTGGAAGGGGCAGCAGATACTAGATCAGATGCAGATCAATGTAATCCCATATTACATTTACATTAGAAATCGCAGTATGAGTTAATTTTTTATGACACCATGAATCTCAAACATTTACTTTCATATACTTAATACATGTACAAAGAACTATATCTGTATGATAGAATTGTTGTATGATATTGCAAATCTAGCTGTAGAATTTTGTAAACATACTGAAATATTATTCTTTTTTATATCTGATGTACAGGTCAACCAAAGGAGACAAACTTTGATTTGAATTGTCCCGGAGCAACAGGGGATTGCAGTGCGACATCTAAGAATGTTTCAGGTCATTGGACTGTATAATACATTTTATTATATGACTGAATAATTCCCATCTCTCTGATTGGCTGAGATCCAACAATTTTAGAAAAATACTATTTTATATTGACCTGCTCGTGATCTTCCAGGTCAATATAAGGAATTATTTATTCTACATTGGACCAAAAATAGATAGGGAAATTCCAGATTGATGCAAATAGTTTAGGAAAGTTAGTTCACTTGCTCATGACATCCACTGATATGAACATAACATTAAGGCACATATATTCTTGGGCGAGGGGTTGGGGGGGGGGGGGAGGAGGCCTGTACCTCTCCCCACCTTTTGAGAATGTTAAGTTTTAATTTAAATTTTAAGGATAAAAAATTTCAATGTAAGCCTCCCTCCCCTCAAAAAAGTTGTGGACCTTTACATCCCACCAAATAAAATTTTGATTTGGGAGAATTCTTTTCCTTTTTTTTGGGGGGGGGGGGGGAGTCAAAGATTTGTTTTTAGGTAAGTTGTAATTTTTTTTTTCCTTTTAATGCCCCCTTTTCAAAATCAATCCCATATATGTGCCTGATATTTATTTTTTCTACATTGCACCTAAACTAGAATTAAAAATTCCAAAAATAATACATCTGTGTTTTTTTAACCCTGTTTCTCTCAATATGTTTGGCTAGTACTTCAGTATATGTGAAGAAGTAAGATGGCTCGGATTGCTTAATGAGTGTATGTCATTTAATCATTGAATTGTATATTAAAACAATTATTGCTGTTTTTTCTGTCAATACGATGATTTAGCCACCTTCGAAGTACAATACTCACCTCGCCCTTCGGGCTCTGTGAATATTGTACTCCTTAGGTGTCTAAATCATTGTATTGACCTCAAAAACCAGCAATAATTGTATATTGTTTATAGTAACTGTGTTTACAGTCATTGTTGATTTTATAATCAAAATCTACATTTTTTGCCCCCCCCCCCTCCACCATGAAATTTCACTGTCCAACTATCATGGTCTATTATTTCTTCATTCCATCATATTTAGTTTTTTAGTATTATAATAAAAAATATTCATCATTTTTGATAAAAATTGAAAAGTTACATATAATTGGAATTATCCTTATTTATGAAAGATACATTTTATTTTAATCACATATGCTATCTAATATATAACATCATGATCTGGAAATTTTAGAATGTGTGGTTGACATACATGTAACTTCTGAAGAGTCTTCAACTCCATGTACAGGTATGTATGCATGCATACTTGATATCTGATTCTGACACTAATTCATTCATTTAAGGAATGTTTTTAAGTTTTGTGTGAGTTATTGGTGTGTAAATCACACAGACTTGTCACGTAGGCATATTTCATGAAGCGCGCTAGCGCTTCATGAAAAATATGCTTACGTGCAAGTCTGTGTGATTTACACACCAATAATTCACACTAAACTTAAAAACATTCCTTATATTTACATTTTACAAGTTTAAAAGCACCAATAATATACTCAATATTTGAATTTCTTGCTGTCCTATATTGTTACATTTTTATTAACGTCTCTGTAGCCTCATTGTGACGTCACTTTTACTCGAGTTTCACCGTGTATATTTCTATGCGTGAGTATACACAAAAATGACTTTCAAATCAATTTCACAGTTGGCTTTGTAGAAAACACAGCAAATGTAAATATTATTAAATGATGTTACAACTTTTTATTTAATTATCAGGATTTGCATATAGCATTTAATTGAATATATATACGGTAATAAGATAAACCACCAAGGTTTGTGGTTGGATATTCAATCAAGGGTTTATGGGGATTTACCCCGGGTTGTATTCTATACACCCTTTGGCCTAGGAATAATGAATTTATTTCCTATGTACCAAATAAATTCTTTGTAAACATAAGTCCTATCACGCTACACGCTACTCAATTCCTAAGACAGTTTGCAGGCAAGAAAATTTTATAGACAAGATCTTTCACATCTGTTTTCATTTTTATTTCAGCCTTGCCATCACAAGCATGCAAGAGAAAGAAGAGTATGGAATCAGTAGGAAAGAAGACTGAAGACTATGGTAATAGTTAGCAAAAGAATATCCAGGGTGCATTAATCATAGAAACAAAACATCAAAATTCAAACTTGTGAATATTCTAGTTATTAAATTTCTGAAATAAAATATATATAGCATTAATTGAAATAAAATAAAACTAAGTACAACTGTCACAATTTGTAAGGGAAAAAAGGTCTCAATTTTATTAGTTTCAACTGGTAAACATTTTTAGCACTGACATCAATCTAATGGATTTATTGTAATGTTGTTATGCTTCCTGAGCTGGTTTTTAATATGCCCTTTTTTGCAGAAAATGGCATTAAAGAACTTGTCGATTTGAAAAAGAAAAGATTAGAAGTTGAGGAAAGGAAGGCTCAAGCGCTGGAGAGAGCTGTAGCAATATTGGAGGGATGGCAGAATTTAGAATCAGGATTGTCAGTTCCTTCAGTTATTCATTTTTAGCTCACCTGAGCTGAAGGCCCAAGTAAGCTTTTCTGATCAAAATTTGTCTGTTGTCTGTCGTTGTCATAGTTGTTATTGTTGCTTTTCACATTTTCATCTTCTCTAGAACCACTGGGCCAATTTCAGCCAAGTTTGGAATAGAGTTTCCTTGGGTAAAGGGGATTCAGATTTGTTAAAATGAAGGGCCACACTCTTTTTCAAGGGGAGATAATTAAGATTCAAAATTGTTCAAATTATAACCCCAAGGGATAGGGCCAGGCCACAACAGGGTGTCAAAATTCAACATAAGAATATATAGGAAATATCTTTAAAAAAAAATTCTTCTCAAGAATAGCAAAGCCACGATTAATTATATTGGTTTTGAAGCATCCTCAGGTAGTGTAGATTCAATTTTTTCAAATCCTGACCCCGGGTCAGGGTGAGGCCACAATAGGCAGTTACAGTCTTACATAGGAACTTTTCAAAACTGAATGTTTTTTGATTTTTCTAAGCCAATATGCTCAGGTGAGCAATGTGGCCCGTAGGCCTTTCGTTAAATTCTTTGTCATCAACATTTGATTACACTCTGTATATTTTGCCTAAAAAGAAAAACACTTCTCTGTAAAACAATTTTCAAAAAGTTGATACATGTATATGGTTACATTGTTTTTCTCTTCTACGGTACCAGATACTAATGTGAAAATAGACAAGAAAATAATATTTATAGATTATTTATTTTAACTTTAAATTATTAAATTCAAAGGCAAAATACAGCGAGTTCTTCATTATTTCAGTTTGTCCTCCTTTCTACAAAGTAAAACAAATTTTGCTATGAAATAAAAGTTACTTGAACTAAAAAATAACCATCAAAGGCAATTAAATTCTATGCACTTACAGTGCTAAGTTATATCCCGGACAATTTAAGGAGGCTCTAAACACCAAGGAAATTGTGTTTTGGACTTTAAAGAAATATACATGTATCATCTAAAGGTGTCCATGAATACTGAATTTATCTAGTGGGTACCTGTCATTTCCAGGATATGTTAAAAGATAATGAAGTGGTAGTGAAAGAAATCACTGCTGTTTACTTACATTTGGAAAATACCTGCAAATAATGCATTCAATTGCTTTATATTACAGTGTAGTATAATTTACTTTAATAATACTTAAATCTAAATCAAATGGTGATATTCACTGTGTATTTCCGTTTAATTCACATTAATCTATGGGTAGATCACTTTAACTGCATAAAACTAATAGGGAATTAGAACTCTCCTGTGCGCAGTGTTTAGAGTCTCCTTAAATGTTGCCTGTTATTAAATTTACTTAAAATCTTGATGCAATGTGTTGTCTCAGGTCTCTGGCTGACCGCAGAGGTGCTCCTCCATAAACATAGTTGTTGTGTTGTAATACAACTTGACCACCTTGTTGTAAGGGGATTCTCTCCTCAATGGCCTTGTTATGAAGTCTGCAACATGTCTCAATGACAAGTGCACATTTGGTCGGTGTAAATGGCAGACATCCTCCACTCTTGTGAAGACATCTGCAAAGTATGAATGGTTTGATTGATCAAATTCTCAATTTAGCAATTATGAAGGCTAAATTATGATTTAGTATATATTTTACTGCTTTTTCATTTATATATTGTTCATATATGGCTTTTAAGGTAAATATGAGCACTCGTTCTTGATGGAGATAATAGGGAACTAGTTTCTCACGTAAACTAATGATACTTATACAACTTTATGTTACAGATAATATCTAATGGAAGATAATTATGATGTTTTGAAAACTTATCACATGCCTAAACCTGGATTTAAGCACGCCAAATGCCCTCTCTATAACATTTCTTGTCTGGCAGTGAGCATGATTATATCTTTCCTCCATTTGAGTAGAAGGGTTACTGAAGGGTGTCATGAGGAAATCTTTCAAAGGGTACCCAGAGTCACCCAGCAGCCATCCGCCTTCTGTCAGGTTAGCCATAATGCCTGGAATGTTGGAGTTTGACATGATGTATGCATCATGCGCACTGCCTGGGAATCGGCAATTGATGTTAAGAAATCTGAAATAAGAGTATAACATCGTATGATCGTAAAGAAAATTAAGCAAGAAGAGAAACAAAATGTTCTCCATTTGAAAATGAATTACAGTAAAACTTGTCTAATTCAGACACTACTGGTTCCAAAGAAAATGACCGGATTACACAACATTTCGGATTAGACAACATTTTAAACAAATAAATTTACTGAAATTGACATAAAGATAATATCGTATTAAGCAAGATTTTGGATTACACATCATCTGGATTAGACAAGGTTTACTGTATATTTGTAGATGGAGTGCATTGTACAAATCGCTAACAATATTTGGATAGACCTCATCTCTGCGTCCACTACCCCTTGGATATTCAGGGCATGAAAGTTCTTTCTTGACACATAGATGTGTTCGTCATCGCTACTCATTCCTTTGATAGGGATAAGCGTCCCGTCTATGGCTCCTACCACGTTGGGGAAACGGGCGATGCAGTAAAATTGTTCTTTCATTTTCCT